AAAAAAAAAAAAGACAATATATAGTTGACAAAGAAGTCAGAACCCTCATACATTGCTGGTAGAGATGTAAGATGGTGTAGCCATTTTGGAAGACAATTTGGCACTTCCTAAAAATGTTCAATATGGAATTACTCTATGACCCAGCAATTCCACTTACACATACACTCAAGAGAAATGAAAACATACATCCACACCAGAATTTGTAGATTAATCAATGTTCATAGAACATAATAGCCAAAAAACTTTTGTGCTTCCAAGATGGAAAGAACCCTAATGTCCACAAACTAAAGAATGAATAAACAAACTGTTCATAGGATGGAATACTATTTTTCAATATGAAGAAATAAAATACTGATACATATTACAACCCAGATGAACTTGAAACATTATGCCAAGCGAAAGAAGCCAAATACAAAGGACGACATGTTACATAATTCCATCTACAGGCAATGTGTAAAATAGGCAAATTTATAGAGACAGAAAATAGATTAGTTGGCTCGGCGCTCATAGCTCAGTGCTTAGGGTGCCAGCCATATACACTGGGGCTGGTAGGTTCAAAACTGGCCCAGGCCTGCTGAACAACTACAACAAAAAAATAGCTGGGCATTGTGGTGGGCACCTGTAGTCCTAGCTACTTGAGAGGCTGAGGCAAGAGAATCACTTAAGCACAAGAGTTGGAGGTTGCTGTGAGCTATAACACCAGGGCACTCTGCCCAGTGCAACATAGTAAGACTCTGTTTCAAAAAAAAAAGAAAATAAATTAGTGGTTGCCTAGGAATGAGGATCTTCAGGAGGACATGGGGGGTGGCTATTAATGGATATATGTTTCTTTTGGGGTGATAAAATGTTTTAAAATTGATTGTAGTTATAGTTATGCAACTCTGCAAACACATTAAACACCACTAAATTGTATATATTAAAATGTGCAAATTGTATGGTTTATGAGTTGTATTGCAACAAAGCTCTTTTTTTTTTTTTTAGACAGAGACTCAAGCTATCCCCCTGGGTAGATTACCATGGCATCACAGCTCACAGCAACCTCCAACTCCTGGGCTCAAGCGAGTCTCCTGCCTCAGCCTCCCAAGTAGCTGGGACTACAGGCGCCCGCCACATCGCCTGGCCATTTTTTGGTTGTAGTCGTTGTTTGGCGGGCCCGGGCTGGGGATTCGAACCTGCCACCTTAGGTGTATGTGGCTGGCGCCTTAGCTGCTTGAGCCACAGGCGTCAAGCCGCAACAAACCTCTTAGAAGAAAAGAGTCATGATGAGATACTCTCCATCCCATCAAGCACAAGCACAGCTCTCTTGGGATCTTACATTACACTATGAGGCTGAATACTATGGGTGCCTTTTCATATATACAAAGTCAGCCAAGATCATTAACCTTCCTCAGATTATTGTTAAGAGTTTAAGGTCACCTATTCATAAGTGAATTGCCCATTTTGCTTCAGGGTGACCTAGCTTATCCATATTATGGAAAAGTAGAAAGCCTTCAAACATACAAAGCATCTGTATCAGATTTTAAAAATAAACAAAGAGCACCACTCTCGTAAAAAAAAAAAACTAAAAGAATGGTAAATAGTATATAAAATTTTACCTAAAAAAGAACCATAAAACAATACTGAATTCTAGGATTAAAAAATTATGCATGCTAAAGTGATTGAGGTGTAATGTACTGATATCTATAACTTATTTTCAAATGAATCAAAAAATAAGATGGATTTATGGATAAGGCAATGGCTAGATGGACATGTAATAAATATGGAAAAATTACAGAATATAGGTGGTAGGTATATGGTGCTCACCGTACAATTCTTTTAACCTTTCTGAATGTTTAAAAATTTGCAAAAAATTGTAGGGGGAACGTGTTAAAGTAAAAGGTGGTTTGCTCAAGAGAGGAAAGCCCTCTTCTCCAACAAAAACCTGAATTTCCCATTTTGACAGCTGAGGAAGGAAAATAAATGCATCTCCTACAGCAGGCCTAGTATAAATATTCAGATTTAAAGAAGAGCATTTACATATGCCACATTTAAGACTAAAAGAATTAAAGGGAGCATGGAGAAAGATTACAGATTGTAAAATGGTTTCATCACTTACTGAAGCAGAGCTAGAAAAGCTAATCTAATGAGGTAACCTAGGAGTTTGAGTCCTGGCCCTTCTTAACATGGCTAAGGGTGAACACCACAAACTGTGAGTAACCAAGGGTCCAGAAAGCATAAATACACATTTGATTTTGTTTCTTTGTTCTCCTTAAAAGTGACTCTGCAGTTGAGAGCTCAGGGGAGGTGGTCAGAGTGTGCAGATTTTGGATGCCAAAGAACACCTGCTCCTTGAACATGAGCCCCAGTCCTAGTCTCAGTTCCTCTTTTCTTATTAAGGGGAAGGTCTTGGCTCAAGAGTGGGCTCTCAAGACGTGTCTGCTGGGGTGAGGCCAGAGGTTAAGGATGAGGCTGTTCTTTCCTAGAGACTTCATCTCAAAGGCTGCTCCGGGGCTGGTTAGTGCAGAACTATCTCACCCCGGTGACAGCTCTCAGTCGCAGGCAAACTTGGGGGCCTATGGTAATTGAAAGACAAAACGCTTCTTGCCAGACTGACTGCAGGAAATGGGGTAGCCCTAAAATAGACGTACCCATTTCATCCCAAAGAGCATTTCTCTTTTCCCCGTTGATCCCCCTCTCCCAGAGGGGCTCTTTCCTGATCAATTTCTAGAACTAGAACCACCTCAAACTCAAAAGACAGGACCCCAACTTCTAGGGGCCAAGATTCTCAACCTTTCAGATCTGGAGCTTCACATCACGCCACAGAAATCTGCCTCCTTCCCCGCCAATCCTTCAGATCTGGAGCTTCCCAACACACACACACACACACACACACACACACACACTGATCTTCGATCCTAGCCTTGCCCCAGAGTCAGCATTCCCCAGTGCTGTGATATAAAGACTTTCGCCCCATAAAAGAGGCATACCCCTACTCTTCAGACCTCGAGTCCCCCAAATTTCTGGGCTGGAATCCTTCATCCCTTAAGGCATTGCATTCTTCCAACTTCTCGGAGCTAGCCTCCCAAATCCTTCAAAGCTGGGCTCCCTCTGTGGTCCCCCATGCTCCACAGCCAGGTCCCCACACCAGTAGCCGTAATCAATCATAACGCGCCCCCTTTGACTCTAGTGCACTTGGCGCCCCCTCCAGGGCGGGATTCATACCATGGTGGCGGCTCGGGCGGCGGGCAGGAGACGCGTGACCCGGCCAATAACGGTCCCCGGGTCACGGCGGCCACTGGGGCAGGGGCGGGGTCGGGGGCGGGGCCGTGGCCTGGTGGGAGGGGCGGGGCCTGGTGGGCCGGGTGGCCGCGCGGGCTGCGGCAGGTGAGCGGCGGGCGGGGATGGCGGAGCAGTGGGATCTGGACGAGGAGGGCATCCGCCGCCTGGGGGCGCTGAGCTTGGAGCAGCCGGGTAGGGCCAGGCCGGACGGAGGACCTGGACGGGGAACGGAGGGTCAGAAGCTGAAGGGAGAAAACTGAGGGGGAAACAGGGGGACCGCGAAGGAGCGGTGCCTGACTCGGAAGAGGGGTAAATTGAGGCAGAAGGGTTATTCTGACGTGGAGATGAAGGAACTGAAGTAACAGAGGAGTCTGGGGCAGGAATTGAGGGAGTGAAGTAGAGAAGGAGAGACAAACAAGATTAACAGGAGACCCGTGAGCCAGGTGACAGAACTGTACAGAGTACAGTGGAAGGAAACAGCCCCCAGAGGGCATCATCTGTGGGAGAAGGAAGTGGTGCGAGGGGCAGTGATGGTGGGTGGTGCTGTTAAGGAGGCACGAAGGGGTTGATTTTGGTAGTTTGTGCAACTTCCTACCCAGAAGGGCTTTTCCTAGTTGAGGTGAAATGAGGAAGGATGCTCCTTTATCAGCCCTTTCCATCCCCGGTCTCCACTTCAAGAACGTGACCATTTCTTTGCTCCGTCTGATTGTGTAGCTTCCTTTTCAAAGAGCCTCAGAAAAGGGCCTGAAAGGAGTAGCAGCTGATCTCCCAAGCGCTCACCGTACCCCAGTCTTAGTAAAACTGGCCAGGTGACTGCTGACCCCTCTTGGACCTGGGGCCTGACCCGCCCAGCTTGCTTGCTGAGTGCCTGGGGAGTAAAAAAGTTGGAAAACTCACCAGCATTCCTAATTCACCTTTCACCCTCCCTAAATTTACTATATACAGTATCATTATTGCCAGACCCTGTGATAAGTGCTTTATCTGCATTATTTAATTCCCATAACCTCATAGCAAAAAGTTGCTTTTTTTTTTTTTGAGACAGAATCTCAAGCTGTCGCCCTGGGTGGCGTCACAGCTCACAGCAACCTCCAGCTCTTGGGCTCAAGCGATTCTCTTGCCTCAGCCTCCCAGTAGCTGGAACCACAGGTTCCCGCCACAACGTCCGGCTAGTTTGGGGTTGTAGTTATCGTTGTTTGGCAGGCCCAGGCTGGATTCGAACCCACCAGCTACCGTGTATGTGGCTGGCGCCCTAGCCTCTTGAACTACAGGCGCCAAGTCAAAAGTTGCTTTTCTTGCTTCTGATACTTTCCATTTGTGGTCTGTGAAATAACTTGGTTTTATTAGTAATTTTATTTAAACATTATTTATCAAAATTAGTGCATGCTAATAACAAACATTACATGAGTGAATAAAGAGGGTACTAATCTTTCCTTCCTCTTGAAAATTCATTTTCTCCTCTTCCCACCCCTTTGCAACTACTAATCGGCTTTCTGTCTCTATGGATTTGCCTCTTCTGAATATTTCATATAAATGGAACCACATAATGTGGGCCTTTTCTGTCTGGCATCTTTGACTTAGCAAGATGTATTCAAGGTTCATCCATGTTTTCACATGTATCAGTACTTCATTCCTTTTTCTAGTAGTAATAGACTTTTTCAGAGCACTTTTAGGCTTACAGAAAAATTGAGCATAATACAGAAATTTGCCATATACCCATCCTCCCTTTGCATCTCTCCTTCACCCCCCAGTTCCCTTTATTATTGATATCTTGCATTATTGTGGTACATGCATTACAATTTATGAACCAATATTGACATATTATTATTAACTGAGGTCTGCAATTTACACCAGGGCTCATTCTTTATTTTAATTTAAAAATTTCTAATTTTAAAAAATTTTTGTAGAGACAGAGTCTCACTGTTGCCCAGGCTGGTCTCAAATCCCTGGCCTCAAGCGATCTTCCCACTTTGGCCTCTCAAAGGGCTGGGATAACAGCTGTGAGCCACCACATTGGGCTGGGGCTCACTCTTTGTGTTGTACAGTTTTGTGGATTTTGACAAATACATAATGTCATATGATCACCATTATAATATTGAACAGAATAGTTTCAAAAATTATTGAAACCAGGCCCTTAAAAATTCCCTGTGCCTCATCTATTTAGCCCTTCCTCACTCCCAAACCAGATATCAATTTGTTGGTATCTGACAACCACTGATCTTTTCACTGTTGCCTTTTTCATAATGTCATATAGTTGGAATCATATAGTATGTAATTTTTCAGACTGACTTCTTTCACTCAGCAATATGTATTTAAGGCTCCTCCACATCTTTCCATGGCTTGATAGCGTATTTCTTTCCTTTTCTTCTTCTTCTTCTCCTTCTCCTCCCCTTCCCTTCCTCCTCTTTCCTCTCCTCCTCCTTTTTTTGTGACAAAGTCTTGCTCTGTTACCTGGGCCAGAGTGCAGTGGTGTCATCACAGCCAGCTCAATGCAACCTCAAACTCCTAGGCTCAAGTGATTCTCCTGCCCCAGCCTCTCGAGTAGCTGAGACTACAGGTGCACACCACCATGCCTGGCTAATTTTTCTTTCTTTCTTTCTTTCTTTCTTTCTTTTTTTTTTTTCTTTTTGGAGACGAGGTCTTGCTCTTGCTCAAATTCCTATCCTCAAGTGATC